GGGGAGGGGGGGGGGGACGACAAGTGCGAGTGAGACGGGGCCATGGCCGGCTCGAGCATCTCACTCGTACCTACCGCACTCGGACGCTCCCGAGACGGTGAACCGACCGACGCACCAGACGCCTGGTGGGTAGGCACGCCCGTTACACACGTGTGTCTGGTGGAGCTGCCTACCTCAGGTCTGCCAGGCGGTAGGGGCTGTCTGTCGGCAGGGGCTAAGGATTGTAATTGTTTAGCTGTGACTTAACACATTGAGTGTGTGACATCTTTTGTGATAGTGTTTCTACATTAAAGCCTGACCAGACGTGGTCACGCCGCATTCAATGTGTTTATGTTTCACCAGGTGAGAAAACTTATCTACTCCACGGCTTTAAAATAAATCATGATATATATGAATTCTCATCACATTGGTCAGAACTCTGTGCGCAAGGTCCAAAGGGGGTGGTTTGTTTTTTTGCAGTTTTTGACCAATACCAGGTCACTCTGATTCTAGTTGATTTGGCGGTTATGGCACTTATTACAGTTGCAGGGAGAGCCAGAGGACATTTGTTGCTCAGGAGCAACAAACGCCGATACAGGTACAAAGACCTCAAATCGCGGGACCTGTATCGGTTTTTGTTGCTCTAGGGCAACGGCTGTTTAGCCCGGCCTAGCGAACAGGGGTTTCGTTGGACAAAATGTTTTACTTGCGGATCGTCATACCCTAGTAGTACCCTATACCAGCATAATTTTTTTTTTTGTGGTGCACTTGGTTTGGTTGTTATAGGCCGTCAAAAATGGCGATTTCATCTCGACTCCAGTCTATGTACTGTCGAGCCTGTACGGCAAACGCAATGAGTCCCACCGGTGTTCCCGGGGCCTAGAAGCATTGTTTAGATCCTAGGCTTTGAGTTGGCACAAAATTTTGCCGAATCGGCCCAAAGCTATAGCACCCAGAGCTTCTAGAAGTCTTGTTGCTCAGGAGCAACAAAACCGATAAAGGGTTAATACAAAGAAAAACCGCTGAGCGAAATTAAAGGTATCGCACAAAGTGCTACACCTACATATGAGTGGGACGTGCTGGTCATTCCCCCCCCCCTCTCCCCAGCCACCTTTACCCATTTGTCAAGCTCGCCATCTCCCCAAAACATCTACCGCTACCGCCAGGGTGTCGACGCCTTTCCTAGGTGCCGCCAGGCAGAGTGTCGTTGGGCAGGGTGCCTAGCTGCCTGGCCTGGATGTCCACCTCCAGGCGAGGTCAGGTGCTTCCCGGGGCCGAGTGGAACCGTGGCTGCTGCGTCCCCGTCCGCGGCGCGGAGCGCAAGCTGTTGCTGACGTTGATGGCCGTAGAGGAGAGACGGAGGCACCGCGATGAGGCAGGGGATGCGAGCAATGTTCGCATCAATGAGACGGACTAGTTGCCGATCGACGCAGAGAGCGAGGGCTTGGTCCAGAGCGAGTGCCTCCGCCCGGTAGACGGAGCAGATGTCCGGAAGGCGGAAGAGCGTACTCGGCCGCGACGCTAAGCAGAGAGCGCACGCCCTCCGCGTCCACCCGCACCACCCCGCTCATGTCCAGGACCACGGCGTGGAGCTCGGCGGGCTCCTGCCGTTTCATCCCCTCCACGAAGTTGGCCGTGCTGCTGGCGGGCGCGTCCCGGAGCTGGCCCTGCTACTTCTGGACCTTGCCCTGGCGGGCCAGCTCCTTCCCCGGGACGAGCCCGACCAGGCGGTACAGGTTGTCCCTGAAGGCGGACCTCGTGGCGAAGTTGATGACGCCGGCGTAGCGGAATATGACGAGCCCCGGCACGCGCTGCGCCGCGCCGTACAGGGCAGGGTCCACGTACAGGTCCGTGCCGGGCAGCGGGGCGAGCAGGGGCACACGGGCCGCACGCCCTGGCACACGAGCGACACGGCCGCGCCCACGCCCAGGCCCACGTCGATGTCCACCAGGACGACGGCGAGGAACGTGACGACCCAGACGGCACCGTGCCACCGCAGCTGCGCACGGACCGGGGGGAAGAAGGCGCGTGGGGGAAGAAGGGCAGAGTAGGCGTGGGGGAAGTCCAGAGGCGGTGGGGAAGCGAGGGCCATGTGTGGTAGTTGGACGGCGGCTGAGGCGGTAGGGGTGGCAGTAGCAGCAGTCGAGAGAGGAGCCAAGGGGGGCGCTTGCGTAGGCCCGGGACGATGAGTCCTCCGGGCGCCAAGTTCCTGAGGATCGCCAGGACCGGATGCGCCAGCGGATGAGGAGTCGGTCGGTGAGGTAGTCGAACCGACGGTGCACAGGCCAGTCGCCCGCCTCGGCGAGCAGAGAGACGACAGGGGAAGAGGGCATGGCGCCGAGAGCTATGCGAAGGGCGGCATTGCAAGCCACCTGCAGGGGCCCGAGGGTGGGCTGTGAGACGGGGTCGATAAGGCCGGCGGCGTACTCTACCTGTGCCCGACGAGAAGCGCGGGGTGGGCGCCCCAGCGGACACCCGCGACGGCCTTCAGGAAGGAGAGGCGCTTGGCCAGCTTGGTCTTGAGGTAGGCAACGTGGGCGTCCCAGAGCAGGGGGTAGTGGAGAGTGACGCCGAGGTACTTGACCGTCGGCGCGTGGGGAACGACCAGGCCGTCGATCTCGAGGCGGGGGAGGCGAGCGTAGTAGTAGTAGTAGTAGTTGTCGAGTATTGGCTTTCAGGTGTACCTGTGAATACGCAGCAGTGTTGCGGGATTGCATACTCAATATGGCTGCCCACCAGGTTGGACGCGCCCTGCGCCAGCATCTTCTGGTGGGCCGCACTTCGTAGCCGTTCTGCGCAGAGAAAATGCACTGGTTGGGGCGTGCAAGAGGAGTAAGAGGCAAGGCGTGGCGTACCTTGGTGGCGAAGATGAGCGCCAGGGACATGGTGATGGACTCGATGGCCACGGCCCACAGCAGCGCGGCGAGCGGCGCGCCGGGCTCCATGGACAGCATCGTCCCCGCGATGACGACAAGCAGCTCGAGTACTTCCATCTTGAAATTTGCAAAACCCCCAGGTCAACCACTAGCGGCATCTTTTTAGAGTTGGTAGCAATTTTGTTGACAGTCGCAGACCAATCCGTTGCAGCACAATCGTGCACACCAAACAGACTGCAACGTCCAGTTGGAGGTGAAGATGGGCATGTTCCTGTAGAGTGCGCGCACCGGCGCCAACGGCAAAATTCGCGTCCATCTATGCTCTTAATACACATTTAATCCTAAATTGATGCGGGTGTAGTTTTTATGTAGTGATTTTTTTCCCAAGCCGTTCAATTCACAGGTCTGCCCCCTTAAGCACCCATGAGCGCTCACATGAGCAATGTGCGGTGCCATATAATGAGCAAAATGCAAATATTTTTGCAGAATTACACTCTCCGTACTCTCTCCTTCCTAAAGAGTAGGGGTGTATTTATTTTCGCGTCATTTTGCATCTTAAGTGAACGCTCATCTCGCGTGAAACGTGAAACGCTCATACGCACTTAAGTTTACACACGGAGAGAAAAGTTCCGGCCAGACAACAAAACTGAGTTTGGATTGTTCCTTTTACCAGTACACCTAACCAGTTTCGGTGTCACACCGAAACCTTTAGACTGTGCACCAGAACTTTTGGTGATTACGCATGTAAAAGTTTGGATAGTACTTTTCTTTCAATTTTGTCGAAACTTTTGAACGTACGGCCCGAACTTTTCTCTCCGTGCACGCCATTGTCAAGATTTGCTCGATTCTTTTCACTCTTCAGACATTTAAGCCACCAAAAAATACTCCGCTATTTTATTCGAGTAAGAAAACGGGGCTGATGGTGCGCGAGGTCGCGCGAGGTGCAGGGGGTGCGAGGGGAGGCACTGAACTCGGTTTTTGGATCTGTTGGGACAAGACGTACGAAGGGTGTGATATCACAGTTTCTGCCGTTTCTGCCTTTCTGCCCTTCAAGCCAGCCAAACGTGCCGAAGAACCATCAGAACAATGGAGTCGTGGCCGTCGTTTAGCGAATTAGGTAAGTTCTTACATTAATTAAAGCTGCGATATTGGAAAGCTTGTGGGAGAGCGTAAAACACAGCCGTTGGGGAGCGGAGTTGAGGTATACCCTAACCTCATCTTGACTGATATTTGGTTTTGAGGTGTTGAAAAGCATTTTCTGGAGTTGCCATACTACTGTTACCGTAAAACTAGAGAAATTGATCGTGCTGAACGGGCATCCCGCGTCACTTCTGATCCCCCCCCCCCCCCTCCTCATCCCCGGGCCCTATAGTAGTCAGTCAGTGCTGTGCTGTAGGGCGGACG